CCAAAGTTATTAGCTGTGAAGCAAAGGCTGGTGGGCTCACCACAAGCAAAACAGGCAGAGGCTGATTGTAGGTGCTGTGGCAAGTGGCAGCTGACAAATCCATAAACACCAGGTTTTACTGGGCCTTGCTAACCTCATTAGCCAACCAGCCATTGGAGGATCTGTGATGGGGTCCAACACCCTAAGAATCAAAAGCAAGAAATATTTTGTTTGCTTATCTCCAAAGGAGGACTTCACAAAGCGTGGGGATTGAGCAGCTAAATGTGTCCTCCATCAAGAAAACCAATCCCACAGCTTTTGGGCAAGCCAGGCTGTGCTCATTGTGGAGTCACACCTCACATGCCTCTCTCTGAGCTGACCTTACTCCCCACGTTGCCAACGCTCACCTTATGAAATCATTTTCTCCAGATAAGTAGCTGCAGATGATTGATTGCACACAATATTAATCCTTCTCTTCCCTCATGCCCGACCCTTGTTTTATAATATCAACCTCTCTGCTTGGAAATTCAGTTTGCTCCCCTGGCTATTAGTGAAGATAAGAAACAGCCTTGGAAGAGGTACTGGCCAAACTAGCAGCCATCAAGATATTTATGAGCAGCTGTGATTGCAGGAGCTGGAGGTGATATTTTACACACTAACCTCATTTGGGCAGCCAGTAACTGCATTCGGTCCATGTTAATGAAAGCAGCAACAGCATAACCAGCTTTATCATAGGACTTCTCATGTGGACCTGCTGGATTCTCCTCTAATTGCAATTCAATTTGCAGTGATAAATAGTTTAATAAGTGAAAATGGGCCTGGCTTCCCTTGTTTGTGGCTCCTTGCTGCTCAGGGGAGCATTACACAGTGCTGCGTCTCGTGGAAACACAACCTGGAGCTTCCAAAGCCAGTTGCTCAACTCTTAGGGGTTGGTGGTTGTGCTGCTTTTTTTGACAGGCAGCAGAAAGGCAATGCCAAGTTGTTTTACTCAGCACCAGGGAAAGATAAGCTGGGAATACAGCTCCCCAAGGCCTTGCATTTATTTTTCCTTTTCACTGGGCAAACAGCGTTGCTTGGGTAGGGCTGACCTGGGGAAGTCAAAGGTGAATTCTTAGCCTGGACTGGTTTTGGGGTGGAAGGGCTGTTTCTGTGGTTGTTGCTTGCCAAAGGGACCCAGGCTGAAGAAACCATCTAACACAGCATCAGCCCTGTTGGGCAGCAGAGGTGACTGTGCCTGTGCTATCCCCTGGCTTGGTTTTTTTCCCCAAATTAATTGGGTTCTTTTATGCCTTCCATGTCTGTGGCTGGGATTTTCCATTGCCAGCTACCATGGAGGGAAGAATGATATTTTCTGATGGACTTTGATGTAAATTTCTGATTCCTTCACAGTTTGTGTTTGTTTGTCTTGTGGTTGGTTTGGGGTTCTTAAAAATCTATTAGCTTTGCATTGCTGCATTTGTAGAAGACTTTTCCTGTGGAGGCTGAACACAACTGGTTGCTGGCAGGAAGCTTTCCTTCCAGTGGGTAAACCATCCCCAAGGACTGATGAGTGGTTTGGCTTTCTCTCAGCCTCCCAAAGCTGGAAACCAACCAGATAAACTGCAGGAAGGTCATGGGTGAGAGCAAAATGAATTGAGCAAGTCTCTTGCTTTTTTATTAAGCCCCAAAGTGATCAGCTCTCCTTACTCCTCAGTCTTGCCTGGGAAAGAAAGACTTGAGCTGATGTGCAGGGTTTGGTAAGACAGACCTGGGGGCAGCAGCTTGGATTGCAGAGAGCTGCCTAACAGCAGGGCCAGCAGCTCCTTCCCTGGTGGCTCAGGGATGCTGAGATGTTCCCCTTCTCCTGCCACACGTGTGCAAACCTTCCCAAAGCATCCCAGAACAGTGCAGGGGCTTGGGGACACACGAGATAAAGACCCCTCCAGGCAGGACTAAGAAAGCCATGGTCCTGCCTGGCTCAGAAATACCATCCCTTTACCCTACCTCCTGCAAGCTGCATTTGTTATCCAGGTAAAGATCCCCTGGGAAAAGGGAACTTGCTGAAAAAAAACCCCAAGTGACTCGAGCCAGATGCTGGGTGTTTCCTCCAGAGCTAGCGAGCTGTGATTTGCTGCTGACAGTATGAACTGGTGTGAAGTTATTAAATTGCAGATGAGCTCATCACTTGGCCTCCAACGAGTTTCAGCCTTGAGTGGCTTTAAAATATTACGTGTGGTGGAAAAGAGACAATGCTGGTGTGGCAGAGAGACTTAGGGAGCAGCTGAGAAAGACATCTGTGCATAAAAAATGTGTCCCAAGAGGGAGGAGGGAATGCTTCATGTGAAAAATGTAAGCTCTCCCAGGAGAGAGGAGGAGAAACTCTCTGATTTATTGGTTCTGTGTTTTAATTTTAGCTTAAGAGAAAATTGTCAGAGTTTTGAGATGCTTAAAGAGAAGTGGCAAGATACTAAGCCTGGTCTGATCCTCAAAGATCCCAGTGTGTTGAGAGCTGTACATGCAGGATTCCTTTTACCAAGCTCCCACACCAGCTCCTTTGGGCTGTGTGGTGTTTGCCAGTGCTGCCATATCACCATGGGCCAAATCCAGCTCTTAACTTGATATTTGCTTAATCCTAATGTTGAGCTCTGCCAGACTGGGAAGATAACATCCATGCTGCTGTTAGAAGAGGTGTTTCTCTCCCTGGAAGAGCAGGAGTTTCCTTTGGGGATCTCCCTGCCCTACATTATCTGCACAATTTCTATTTCTCCTTTTTGTTTTTTTTTTTGACTTGCAAAGTAACCCGAGCTCCTGAACCCACATGATCCTGCACAGTCACTCATGTGGTGCTGAAATACATAAGAAGGAAGATGATCTTGAACAATGGAATTAGTTTTTCCAGCCTATTTAAACCCAACCATGCTGGAGCAGCCTTGGTGTGCTGGCCTGGCCCTCACAGTGCTGCTCCTGGGGAGCACAACACACCCCTCATCTTAGCTCTAGAGCTTGACACTGAGACTAATTCATAGGTTTTTTTTAAGTGCCAACTTGGCAGAAGCTGTGGGATAGATCATAAATTGGTTCAGGCTCTTTATTAGACTGGGCATGTTTGCAATCAGAGGGTGCATTGGCTGCTTGGATTTTGTGGCCAGTTGGATTTGTTGGTTTGGGGCTTTTTTAGTGCTCCTGGCCAGGCAGAACGGCCCCACATGTGGTTTTTTAACTGCCTCTGCTCTTTTCTACCAAATGGCATGTTTGCAAAGCTGGTGTTAAGTCAATCAGTGCTGTGGTGATGCCCCTAAAAACATCAAGGAAACCAGTAGCTGGAGACTTGCCACCTCGTTTGTGGAGCAGTGCTGGTGGTCAGCTCTTCCTTAGCAAGTTAGATCTCCACTATTCAGTGGTGGCTGTCAAACAACCACTTCCATGTCATTTTGGCAGTGTAGAGGCTCTGTTTTGCCAAAATGAATGGCAGGGTGGCAGGCAGGTCTCACTGTGGGCACATCCTTGCCCATTGAGTCTTGTAGAGGTCCTCTGGAAAGTAAATGCTTTGGGTTTACTCCCAAAAGATGGGTAGATGTGGTGTTAGCTCTGCTATGGAAAGGGGAATGTGTTCCCCAAGGGAGGGATGAACATCCTGAAATGCAGCAGGGCTTCATTTTGCTAAATCCCAGCCATACCAAGGAGAGGAGGCTGTGTCTGGGCTCTGCCCTTTAAAAGCAAAGGCAAGCCTTTGAAGAGAAATATAAGGCATCATATTCCTGTCAAAAATAAAAGGCAAGAAGGGAATGGCTTGCTCAAGCTCACCCAGTAAGGCAGGGCTGGAAAATGGGCCAGCTCTCTTGGAGCCTGTGAAGTCGGGTGGAGCCTGTGAAGCACGTCTCCTGCCATCCTGTGGGTGGAGGGTGGACCTCACTGCAACGTGTTCATCTGAGAGGAGTGCTCTCCTAGCCTCTGATCAGCTGCTGCTGAGGAGCAAAACGTAGTGGAGAGAAAATATTTGAAGTAAAAGGAGTAGACTATATATAACCCTTCCCCTCCTCGTCCCTCTGCACTAACATACTTCATAGAACGACGAGTTCTGTGCCAAAATTCCTCAAATTACTGTGACTAAGGATTGCAAATCATAGAAAATAGCCTTGGAGGGGACCTAAGGAGGTCTTGATCCATCCCTAGGGCAGGATCACCTCCATCTGAACTGTTCCTGACACATCCTTATCCAGTCTCCAATGGCAGAGCCCCCACCCCTTCCCCAGGCAATACTGCCCAGTATGCTCTTCCCAGCCCCTCCCAGTTTATCCTCCTGTTGCCATTGCTGCTGTCTCAGGCTCGTTCCTCCTGATGCACAGCAGACCCCGAGCACAGCCATGCTGGGTTTATTCTTCAATCCCAACCTGATGGAGCTGTCATGTTGTCTGGAGTCATCTTTGGTTCCTTGTTGCAGGCATACTGTGTGCTGGGTGGACTTGCAGCTTGTGGGGGGGATGAGGGTGCTCCTCCTGCAGCCCCAATGGCTCTCTGCAGAGCAGATAAAGGGCAGGAGTGGAGCTTTCTCCAGGGCCATGTGTCTGTGTCCCTTCCTTGTGGTGGGTGGTGGTGGGGGGCAAAGCTGGCAGTGGGCAGATTCAGGCTGGATGTGAGGAAGCAGTTCTTCCCCAGGAGAGTGGTGAGACCCTGGGATGGGTTGCCCAGGGAGGGGGTTGAGGCCCCATCCCTGGGGGGCTTTAAGGCCAGGCTGGAGGAGGCTCTGGGCAGCCTGATCTAGTGGGAGGTGTCCCTGCTCATGGCAGAGGGGTTGGAACTGGGGGATCCTTGTGGTCCCTTCCAGCCCTGACAGATTCTGATCTGTTTTAGCAGAGGACTTTAGAGCCCTAATGGCTCAATGGTTGGACTTGATGATCTTGGAGGTCCCTTCCAACCTAAAGGATTCTATGATTCTTCTTGACTTCTTCATGAAGATCACCATTGTGGGCTGATTTTAAGATCCACGCTTGCACTGACTTTTGTAGTACAAGTAATATTGTCCTTCACCCTGTTTCCTGCAGGATTTAGGAATGGAGTCAACCTCTCTGGATGATGTCCTCTATCGATACGCCAGCTTCCGAAACCTGGTGGATCCAATCACTCATGACTTGATCATCAGCCTTGCCAGATACATCCACTGCCCCAAACCGGTAGGTGCCATGGTCTCATCCCACCTCCAGGACTGTGCTGGCTTGGGAAACCACCCTGCTGGGAGTGTGGAGCTTCTCCCTGAGGGCTAGGTGTCTGTTTACTGCTGTGCCTGTGTATCTTTGGACCAAGAGGATCTCTTTGGAGGTGGTGATTTGGTTGCACAGCCTCCCAGCTGACTGACACTGACCTAACATCAGTAGTTTGGCTGTTCACACTGTGGTGTGCAAATTCTTTCTGCTTTCTGCCACTTTGTGTTCCTGTGTTAAAGACCTCAACCTATCAGCAACACTTTCTGCCTCACAAAAGTAACAGATCAGCCTTGGGTGATGTTTATCTTGACCCCCAATGATGAGGGAGTCCTTGGCTCTGCCTTCAAGGCCAGGTTTCCAAAGAAGCTCAGCCTCTTTGGGCTCTGACACGAGCAGGTTTCTGTGAGTGCAGCCTCAGGCAGATGGGAGCTTTTAAAACTCTCAGCCCAATTTGCTTGCTGGCAGCTAGAGCAGCATAAGGGCTTTGGAAGATCCCAGCCTGGCCACCTCCTTTCCAGGGTAAATGTGACTTTGCAAGGTGGCCACTGGTCCTTTGGATAATTGAGGTTTCCTTCCCCAGGCTTTCTTTTAAATAAGCAGTATTGTTGGTATCTGAGTCACAAAGCAGCATAGTCTTAGAAAGGTGTGGAGTGTCTGAGCTCTCAAAACCTGCTGCATAAGGAGGAAGAGGGGTAAGAGTGAAGACAAAAAGCTCCTACAGTGTCTATAGGAGATGTAGGTAGTATCAGATCTCTGTTTTGTTTTTTTTTTTGATCTTTTAGTCCTCCTGTGCTGCAGCTCCCTGCCTGTAATTTTGGGAGGATGACAGAGCTCTGCTAAATCGTTGTGATGTGTCCTGGCACTACAGTCAGGGTGACATGTCATGTACCAAAGATGAACTGACTGCAAAGATCCAAGACATCCACCTTTCAGGGGAAACACTTTTCTTCTGCAAAGCACTGTGCAGGGCAAGCAGGAGCTGTAATTGGTGATGCTCCATCAAGGCCTTGAAACTCCCAGGAATGGGCTTCCTCCTAAGGAGGCATTTCTGTCCATATTTTATATGGTCTGGTACACGTCAGAGTGTGGTGAGGGAGCTGAAGGCTCATCTCTCATAGTTGTGTTTTTCTTCCCCTTGCATGTTGCTGGTCAGGAATTAAAGCTGCATTTAACATAAAAAGTGTGAACTGTAGGAAGAGGCTGGGTGATGTTTTCCAGTAAGCCCAAAGGAAGGTTTGCAGAGCTTTCTGGTGGGATGTCTCCATTGTAAGGGCTTGCCTGGGAGTGTGGGAGCTGTGTGGCTTCCCTGAGCTTGCTGTCTGGGACCAATAATGTACTTTTGAGCAAAAAGGAAGCCCTTCCACCCCTACCACCTGCATTTGGCTCTTGTCATGCTTGCAGACGTGATGGAGCTTTGTTTGCAGGCCACCAGGAACCACCTCCCAACATTCTCCATATTTATCCTCCAAACCCTTCCCATGCCTTGTTGTCCTTGGGAAAGAGCTGCCTGGAGCAGCACCATGGCATCAATCATCCAGGCTCACTGCAGCAGGCAAGGCTTCATCTGCTGTTGTGACCTGGAGCAGGGAAGAGAGGTGCAAATGCCCCAGGCAGGGAGAGTACTTGGTGTTTGTGGGTCCATCCCCTGTGGAGGAGAAGGGTGCAACCCTCCCTGCAGCCCTCCTGGAGGGCAGCACCACCAATGTCCCAGCAGCATCTCAGGGGGGACATCTATGTTTGTTTTCTCCTCCTGGAGACAGCAAAGTCAGCAGCAGCTCATCTGTTCTCATCTCTGCTACTGCTTACCCCTCTTGTGCCCTCTTTTGATTTGAATGTGGCATTTTTAAGCTTTTCTTGGAAAGGGACTGTCCCTATGTGTGATGTGCTCAGTATGATGGGGCAGGGGTCCAAGCTGGGACCTGGAGGCGTCGCTCTCCTGCACTTACTGCTAATGATGGGTCTTTAATTTCCTCTAAGAGTGTATGAAGCAATAGAGTCATTCACTGCTGCTTCTTGTGGATATTTTACTTAACAATAGCCTCCACCAGTAGTTAACAATGAAGGAAATGGCTTTTTTTTAAATATTTGAAGGTTACTTTCATGTTGCTGAGGAAAAGCCCCAGTGATGCTCAGGGTGTGTCAGCTGATACTCAGGCTATGGTGTGAAATTGGCTCTGGAAGTGCTTCATAAAACTCTCTACACTCAATAAACCCTGTTGGGAAGGGTGGAGCTGGAGCAGCAGCATGCAGACGTGGCTGGGGGACATCAGAGACCCAAATCTCCATCTCCACAGGTGGATGTCCCATATCCTACAGCATGAACTCAGGACACAAACACCTCCCTGTGCTGTGTAGCTAAACCCCTGCAAGGATAGCAGTGTACCCTGTGCCCTTCTCCTCTGGAGGGCAAGGTCCCTTCCTCCCTCCTCCCCCGTGGGGCAATGAGATGGGGAACTGGAGAAGCCTATTTTGCTGGGCATGTTTCCAGGCAGAGGCCCCGTTCCCCCGTGGAGGTGACACTGTCCCAAAGTGTCAGGACTAAGCTGCTTTCTCCTCCACGTTTTGCCCTGGAAGTTGGACAGTGAGCTGTGGCCAAGTGTGCCACCAACTGTGCTCTAAACCTTCTTTTTTTTTTTTTTTGACAGCTGAGGATGCTGGATGAGAAATAATTTCATCCTAGTGTTCAGTGGTGGTTTTCTGAGCCACTGGTTTTCTTAATGTCCCCCAAACCCTCCGTGTCTTATTCACCTGGGTTATTTTCCAGTCCTCTTTCCCCCTAGACCTTTTTCCCTTCTTGCAGTTTCTTTGACAGAGACTTGGCAGCAGCCCATGAGAGCAGGAGAAAGCTCAGGGCCAGGAGCTTGCAGAAGTTGGGGCTTTTGCTCTGCCTGCCAAGGGTATGCCACTGCATCCCAGGGCACAAATGTACATGAATATTTAGGCTGAGGCAGCTGTGGACTTGCCCACATCCATCCAGAGCTGGGACAGAGGGGGCTGAAGAATGGGGCTGACCTGGCCCCTGGTGCCTATTAACTTGCTCAATTAAATATGTGTCTGCTTGGGGTTCTGTGGGCTCATTTTCCTCCTCCCTCCTAGAGAAAGCACTTTCCTGGCTTTCTGTACATTGCTTTCTTCACTCAGCCTCTATTTATACCAGCCTCCTTAACTTACAGGTGACCCCTTGGTCTCTCCTTTGAGCTAAAATAAAAGTTGAATCGTTTTTCCAAGCTCTGGGTAAACACATCCCAGTCTGTAGGGCCAGAAAAAAGTTGGCCTGGGCTCTCCAACATGGCTGTGGCTCAGCACAGTTCAGTGGGTGTTTACACCAGCAAGAAAATTCAAACCAGCAGCAGGGCAAAGATCTGACTTGTGCTGGAGGAGTCTGGAGTGCTTTGAAGGAGCAGAAATTGTTTGGGTGAGCTTTAGGATGGACGTCAGTGTGTGACGTCCAAGGGCTGGATCATGTCTCTCCAGACCCTCCCAGCCTTCCCCAAGGCACTTGTGTTTGGGTGACTTTTGCTCAAGGACCCAAGTGAAAACTCTTTTTCCAGATCAATTGGAGGTCAAGGTTTGGATTTGGTCCCATCAGGGCTTGGATTTAGTCCCATCCCTCCTTACAAACCTACAGTGCAGTTCAACCAAACCTGGGTATATTGAGCAGCCATTCCTTGAGGGATTGGGATGTGCCAGCAGCACGAGCAGGTGGCACCTCCAGAAACCCCAGTGGAGCTGTGTGGGGGCAGCTGCCCAGCTCTGGCTGTGGCTTTTTGGGTTGCTGTCTGCTGGGGAAGGTTTCAGGCTGAACAAATGCTGCTGTTGCCTGTGAAGGTTGGGTTGAGTGGTGGCTGTAGGTGTTGCACTTGATATTTATCCCCTTGTGCAGCTATTGTCAGCCTCTGGGGTTTGTTATCCCTCAGAAGAGGCAGTTTTGCTCTCCAGGAAGCTCTCATGTTGTGCAGTAAGTTTTCCAGCGTTGGTTCAAGGCTGTGTTTGCACAGGATCAAAGACATTTGAACAAGTGTTTTCTTCCCCATGGCCATGACCTTGGGGGGACAGTCTTTTATCTTCCTGCCTCTCTCCAACCCCAGCCCCGTGGAAAGGTGCCAGGCATGTTCCTCAGAGAGTGGCTCAGCTCCAGGCCCAGCCTCACAGCTGCCCCTTTCCAAAGCCTGGTGCCAGGGTGAGGAGCCACTTGGTGCTGCTGGCACCCTCAGTGCCACGTGGGGCTGCCCTGGCAAAGGGGAAAGGGGACAAAATGCTCCAGCCAAGCTTGGTGACGTGGGCCAGAGCTGCCCCCCTGCCCTGTGTCTGCCCTGGAGCTGCTCAGGGTTCCAGAGGCAGTCGTTCCAAGGCAAAGGAGCTGAGAACACAAAGGGGGCAGGAGCAAAGGGCCCCTGTAAAATCTGCACAGCTCTCCTGGCCAGCAGCAATAGCTGGCCATAAACTATTGGAAAATTAAGCTGCTTTTTTTTTTCCACAGACCAAAGCCACATGTACGGATGAGTGATGACTGTGATAGGGAGTGAGTCAGGCTTTCCTCCAGCTCGAGGAGATGTTGAAGGCAGGATGAGAGCTGAGTGGGGCTGGGGAGAGGAGAAAGTGAAGCCTTGGGCAGAGGGAATAACCTTGAGACCCTGAGGTATTTGCACCAGCCCTTACCATCCTGGAAATGTACCCTGGAAGCTTCACCAGCCCCTGAAGACTGCCCAGAGTAAATCCAAAGTGAGGTTTGGGCTTTGCTGATCCCCATCCTGCTGCTCTCTGGGGAGGAAGGCTTTCCTGCTGGTCAGTGGCTGGGGAAGGGCTGGCAGAGCAGCTTAGCAAAACCCTGTCCCAAAGCCCAGCTTTGCCTGTCCATTTTTCTGCTGGTGCCTTCACTTCTTGGGCTGCAGCTCTGCTAAGAAGACAGGTGACAGATACAATCTCACTTGGGTGTAGGGTGCAAGATCTGGAAGCTGTGCACAACAGCT